TACCCTTTAATTCCTGTCTTTTAACCAATTCTCAATCCAAGAAAGGACCTTCCCTCTTATCCCATGGCCATGTAATTTACACAAGAGCCTTTGGTGAGGGACCTTGTCAAAGGTTTTCTGAAAATCCAAGTATACTATATCTACTGGATCTCCCTTGTACGCATGATTGTTAACCCCTTCAAAGAATAATGTTCTTCTACATGCTTCACAATTTTATGCACATAGCTGGTGTTTAATGCATAATGGTTATGGGTGTGAATATATATGACTCAATATTTGTTTAGTTAAGAAAATAGTTATTTTAGTACTTGACATTTTTTTTTGCATACTCTACAGCTATGGAAGTCACTTTAAAACAAAACAAAACAAAACATTGTGCTAAAAAATCATGGGTTTTAGAAAAAAATCATTTAAGGGTAAATCCTGAAGCTTTTCCTCAAACAAAACGGCAAAGGGAGTTTAGTTTGCGAATAGACTGTTTTGGGAATTTTAACATTTGTCTCATTATTAGCAAACAATATTTTCCATTGAATTGGGGAATCTTGTGGACCATACTTTTTCTTTCCTTCTACTGAAGCACAGCTCTTTGGCTGCCAAGGCCAAAAAGTGTATAACTGCTGGCTTGCTTTTAAAACCTGTTTTTAAAAAAATCCAGATGAAGAATCCCTTCTCTAAATAGTAAAGGAGAAAGCTTGAAATAAGGTAGGACTTGTTTGCTGACCATGTATGTAGTTTTCTAAACTATCAGTTTCTAACACCAGCAGTTCTGATTTCAAATAATATATAAAAATGAGTAGTGAAATCGGAAAAGGTCTGTATGGAATGGAGATAAATTTGAGTTTGTAATGAGTAAATGTGGGGATAGTAATGAGGTATGTCTGAGAGCCAGAACAAATCAATTTATTTTTGTTTTCTCTTATGATGCATGTATGGCACCATCACTAATATTTTTTGGTGAGAGAGTACAAAAAATTGACTATTTTACACAGCAAAATTATTTCTTTACAAATAAATAGCATAAAGTCAAAGAATCAAATGTGTAGCAGGTTCATGCTTTGAGTAAGATAGTGGCTTGCTATGACCTTTACAGAAAAAAATTAAAAAATGAATGAAGATAATCTAGTTTTTTTTCTCTTCCACGTTAATGAATAAAGAGGAATCCTGTTCTTTAAATGTGTTTAGCAGTAAAATTACTGAATGTCATTATTTACAGAGACCTAGATAATGAATTATTTTATTTTTATGGGTGCATACAGCATGCCTTTTAGTTTGTATCTTGCACAACTCAATATTGAAGTGCCCATTTCTTAAAAAGTACTGAGAGTTACTAGTTGCTTTCTGTAAATAACCAGATGAATTAATTACCAATCAAACAAGTTTGTTTTTTCTCTGCTGTCTAATCTTAATAGATGTAAGGCTAAATTGTGGTTGCTCCAATGATGGCTGGAAAAGTGAGTAGGGAAGGCACAGGGAGCCAGGCTTACTACCCATGGCTATGTCTAGACTGCAAGCCTCTTTCGCAAGAGGCTTTTTCGAAAGTAACTTTCGAAAAAGCCTCTTTCGAAAAAGAGCGTCTAGACTGCAAGCAGTACTTTCGAAAAAACAAGCCACTTTTTTGAAAGAAAGCAGCGAGTGAGTCTGGATGCTCTCTTTCTAAAAAGCCCTGTTGGCATTCAAGAATGCCTTTTTTTGAAAGAGCACTTTCGAAAAAAGGCGTTCTTCCTCGTGAAATGAGGTTTACTGCCGTTGAAAGAAAAGCTGCGTTCTTTTGATTTAATTTCGAAAGAACGCGGCTGCAGTCTAGACGCAGGTGAAGTTTTTTCGAAAAAGGCTACTTTTTTCGAAAAAACCTCTGAGTCTGGACACAGCCCATGAAATTGGTAGCTATAATTTTGGTAGCGGGGGTAGAGAAAGAGAGAGAGAGAGAGAGACAGAGGTGAATTGTTTGTACTGCTGGCAGTGTTACTGACCTACAAAGGAGTATGTCTTTTCAGTAGAAAGACCCCAGGCCTTCATAGCTGCACTGTATAGAGCATTGGGGTACACTGCCGGATTCTCCTCTCACTTATACTGCTATAATTGTATTTACTTCAATGGAGTTACTTCTGGTTTGGTTCAGTGTGTGATAAGAATCCAGCCTCATTGTGCCTGTCAAAGCATAATATTGTACCGTTTAGCATCATTAGCCAGGCAATGTATCTCTTCTGTACAGGTCAGGCTTTCAGGAACTGTCATGCATCTCATAGCACCTCAGATGTAATGGAATTGTTCTTTGCTTTGCATTGAAACAGAAAAGTGAAACTATGCCTCTAAATCTGGCCCAGGATTTCATGGTGTTCCTATATAAAGGAAAACGGACCCACATGTTGCTGGAGTTTCTGTGAAGCTGCATTGGCTGTCAGCGGTAATGGAGAGAAACGACAAGCAGTGTTGTAAGATGATTTTATGTTTTTAATCATCTCATTTCAAAACCAGAAAGCAAGATTATTTTTATAGTAATGGTGTTTTTAAAAAAGAAATCAGGAGATTAGCATATAGGAAATCTATTCCAGGGTAGACGATGTTGTAAATACTCTTTTGTATGAGACTGAAATTGCACTGGAATTTTCCATCATAGATTTGCTTGATGCAAAAAGCTATTTTGTCTAAACTCTAGTAGGAAGTAAGAGATGAGAACCGATCTGTTGCTATGTTTATCTTCATTGTGTATTATTAGGTCGAACCTGGGCTCTGTCCTGGAGGCCATATCACACTGCTGATGGCCGGGAATGGACTTTACAGAAGAACATAGGAACGGCCGTACTGGGTCAGAACAAAAGTCCATCTAGCCCAGTATCCTGTCTTCTGACAGGTGTCGGTGCAATAGGAGCAACCTTGTTGAACGCCTTGCCAGAGGATGTTGTGAAGGCCAGGGATACCATTCCTGCTCATCCTGGCTAATAGTCATGAATGGACCTATCCTCCATGAATTTAGCTTGTTATTTATTGGACCCGGGTCAAGATTTTAGCTTTTTCTGAGTCCGTACCCCATTAGTATTAATTGGAGGGATTAGCCTGAGTAAGTATATAGGAATTAGCGTGGGTAAAGACTTTTTGGGTCTATAATAATGAAATCTGATTTGTCAATTTTATATGTGTTCACTTTTTTTTTTTATTGTATCACTTTGGTATATATGGTCGTGCCAATTTTCTTCCACAAATTGATCTGAGGAAGTGGGTCTGGCCCACGAAAGCTCATCTCCTAATAAACCATCTTGTTAGTCTTTAAAGTGCTGCATAGTCCTGTCTTTTGTTTCAGCTACACCAGACTAACAGGGCTGCATCTCTATCAGTTTCTA